CTGGGGCCTCTGCCTCCACCGAGCCTAAAGCCCGCGCCTTCCCGCCTCGCCCACTGCCTGTGCCGTGCTCCCCACCCACGCCGTCCCCCACAGCCCCCTCTCAGGGCCGCTGCGTGTGCCAGGCAGACGCCCTCTGCCACCGCAGGCCCCTACACCCCGGTTGCCTGCACAGCCCACCTGCCGGGGCTGCCGCCACCCGCTCATCCCCGCCGCTCTCTCGTGAGACGCTGCTCTCCCGCCGCCGCCGCTGCAGCAGAGCAGACACGGGCCCCACCCGGCCACCCGGCCCGTCCAGGCCAGGCGCAGAGCCGAGACGGGTGGCTGGGCCACGGGGACTCGCCATGAGGGGTCAGGACGCAGAGCCCGGGTGCAGAGCCGCGCTGGGAAGGCAGGCAGGAGGCGGGACCAGGCCCCAGAGTCAGCCCCGGAGGCCCCACGGGCTCGCTGACCAGCGCAAGGGCTCCACGGCCCGCCCGCCCGCCAGGAGAGGGGCCACACATGGCCGTGTGTCCTGTGTCCCCCACCCGCCCTCTTTCTTCCCGAACCAGCAGGGCGGGCGCAAGTGCTGGGCCTCCTGGACCAACCCAGAGCTGCTGTTTCCTGCGTCCACTCAGGGCGGGGCCCAGGGGTCGATCAACAGCGCAGCCACGTGGCTGTGGCTGGGAAAGGCGTGTGTCCCCGACCGCCTGGCTGAGGACTGGGCTTAGGTCTGGGCAGGCCCAGGGACGCCCTGAGGAAGACGAGATCGCGCCGCTGCCACCGCCCTGCGCCGGGACTCGCCTGGCCCGGCCCGCTTCTCGCACCAACCCTCTGTCCACCCTGGTCTGCCCTGCAGGTGCGGCCTGCGGACCACGGGATGGGGCCGGCACCGCGCGCTGTACGGACAACAGGACGGGAAGACCTCAGTCTGCCGGCACCACCGGGTCCCCGCAGTGGGCGGGTGGGTGCTCGGCAGGGGGTCCCTGCCACCAGCCCCAGGCACAGCCTCCACCTGGCTGCCACGGACACTGGGCCTGGGCCCCCCTGGCGACGTGGGGTGGCCGGGAGGCCAGGGGCCCCAGCCGTGCACCACTCTGCCCGCCTGACTACAAAGCGCCGGGCGTTCGTGGCCGCCCCCCGCCAACCCTCCACGAGCTCCATCCACACTTCTGCCCGGACTTCCTTGTCGATCTTCCCCACTTGCTGCCTCCGAGTCCCTGGGCGGGAGCTGGTGGAGACCCGTCCCCTGACGATTAGGACGGACTCTGCTGCGAAACGCGCCTGGGCTGAGGCTCCACCCTCGGCTGCCCCAGCCCGGACGTGGGCTGGCAGCCCCTGGGGGCACCTGGTCCCCAGATCCAAGCACGGTTCAGAGCCGCCATCCAGGAGCTGCTCAGAAGCCGGCACTTCCTCTTCCCCGGCGCTCAGCCACGCCGGCACTGGCCGTGGGTCCCTCTGGGGAGGGCTCGGAGCGCGGTTCACAGCGCGTCTGTGGCAGTGCCGCAGGGTCCTTCCATCCAGGCCGCCGTGTCTGCGCGCTGGCCGGGGTGACTCCGCGCTCCCGACCTGGGGCGTCGCTGCTGTGTAGGTCGTGTGACAAGAAGGTTCTGTCTCTTTCATCCCTGGGCGCCGTGGCCAGCCGGTCCCTGCACAGGCCTCATGGGCCCTTGGCGGCAGATGTGCCGCCTTGATGCTGGCAGCAGGATGCGCCCGGACTCTGCCCTCCCACGGCCCCACGAACCCCACTGAAACCCAGGAGCCCAAGAGCCTCAGACGGGGCCTTTCCCTGCGGTCACCCCCGGCCCAAGAGAGGACCCACTCCGGAGCTTCCAAGGCGCGGGTTTCCCTCCAGGTCGCCATGCTTTGCCGAGGGGAGGTCTTCAGAGCCCTCTTAGGGCGAGCTGGGGGTGGGCGTGTGGGTGGCAGGTGACGCCTCCCAGCTGACCTCCCGTCTCCCCGCCCACATCACACCAGGGCAGCTCTGGTGCCGATAAACGCCGGACACCGTCGAGCCTGATGTCGGCCAACCCGGCCGCTCCAGCTCTTCCAGTCTCCGGCAACTGCGCGAGCAGCCGACGTCCAAACTCTCGTGACCGCACCACACCGCAAGCTCGTCTGGTCCAGTGTCACGCTCCCCTCCCTGGCCCAGCACCTTCGGAGTCCACCCCCACACACGCCCCCGGTCTCGGCAACGTTTGTCAGCAAAATCGCGTATTCCGCGGCGTGTATGCTGGCTGCCTCCTCGCACGCACTGCGCACCTGACCCCCGGCGCACGCGGAGCCCGGCCTTTGCTGTGGGTCTGTGGCAGGGAGAGGCGCGTGTGGCGGGTCTCGGGGGACAGGTGCCCTGCAAAGATGCCCCCTGGGGAGGTCGCGCAGGCTTCGCGAGCAGCCTCCTCGGCTCCGGCGGCGACGCTCCACGCTGGAAGCCCAGACAGACTCAGGCCCCACTTCTGCCTTCTGTGCGTCTGAGCCGAGCCCGTGTCCAGGGTCAGGGTCCGGTTCTTTCCCAGCTGACGCCTTCGCTTCAGTGTGGGAAACGCGAGCGGTTCCGTTTTGATTCCCGGCAATCCGAGCCCTGGAACTGGGAGACACAGGCGCGTCTGGGCCCCGGCCGGGCTCCCTGTTCTCAGGTCCTGAACTGAGCCGCCTCGCCGTTGCCCTCCCGTGAGTGCTCCAGGTCCCTCGGGAAGGTCCCTGCTGCCGCAGCGGGCAAGCGCGGCAGCCGCCTGGGCTCCCGAGACACCCGCTTCCCCGCACACGGTCACGGCAGGTGAAGACTTGCGACGCCACCTCGAGCCGCGAGCGCCAGCACCCCGCCCCCGCTGGCCAGGCGCCATGCACTGCGCTCCGCCCAGGTCATGGCCACCCCGCACTCACGCTGAAGGGCCTGCTCCTGGGACCGAGACGCTGTCAATCAGGGTGTAGCCCGGAGACGAAAACCACACGACAGTTCAGCGGGGAACCCCTCACAGCTGACTAGTAAGTGGTGGCAGCAGAGAACCCCGACGGGGAGATCCTTAGTAACTTCCGGAAACAGGTCTGAGCCCGGGGCCCAGGAAGCCGGAAGCCGCAGGAGCTCGGCCCAGAGGAGGCCGAGACCCAGACGTGAGGGGGGCTGTCTGTGCGGGAGGCGCTCACGGGGGCGGAGGAGCTGCCGGCCAAGTTGAACTGCAGAGGCGACACCGTGAAGGCCATCGGGCAGGAAGGGGGTGGCCCCCGCACGCTGGGAGCAGCAGCCCCTTCCTCCCGCGTGGGCCTCGTCGCGTCCTCCAGCGCGGGCGGGCAAAGCCCACGACTGCACAGGCCGGCAGAGCAGCTGGATTTGGAGCCCGCAGGACACGAAGCGAGGCTGGAAGGCCCTTGCCGAGGTCCGCCCACAGGTACGCCTGCGCCAGCCAGAACACAGCCCGTGACCGTGCGCCGAGCTGGAGGCAGGCGAGGAAACCTCCCTCCCCATCCTGAGCGTCTCCTGGGGAAGCACCAGTGGGCGCCAGGCTGGCAAGACTCTGGAAGCCCCCAAAACAGCGCCTGTGGTGGGCGTCTGGGGCAGGGCCGAATTCGAGCCAGAGGGCAAGGGCCTGGTGACGGCCGGGACAACAGCCTCCAAACCGCAGGCCAGCTGCCCCAGTGACCCTCCCAGAACCAGTGGGACCCAGCTGAGCTGCTCACCTGCAGCCCCAGGCACCCGCCAACCACTCCGACTCCTGTAGCCTGTCCCAGGACACACCGGAAGTCAAAAATCAGCTGAAGCTCACGCCAGGAACAAGCAGCTCCGAGCTGCGACACCTCCTTCTGCTCAGACCCGGTCACGGCAGAGTCCTCCCACCCAGCGCACCGCGTCCTGCCACAGCCGTGCTCAGCAGCAGCGGAGAGGTTCACCCCAGCGCCCGCGGCCGGGCACCACCGGTCCCTGCTCCCTTCCTTCCCCGGCGTCGGCCTCACCAGCCTTTCCCGGTGGGGAGAGGGCGGCAGGAAGGGGACCAGGGGATAGAAAGCGTCTGCCAAACACAGGACCAAACTACCAAAGGAAGACTTTATTTGCAAGGTTTCTATGGAGATATTACAACAATGGAGACTTAAAAGAAAAACATTTAAAATTTTGTGTGTAACTATAGCTTTAAAATAAAAATATGATCAGGTGAGTTAATAAATAACGCCATCCCGTGACAACTTCTAAGAGAAAGGCGTGTCTGCCGGTCAGGCGCCCGACCCCCAGGCCTTCTGGTGATGGAGGAATGAAATGGCCACACCGTCCAAATCTTGACTTTATTTTTAATATAAAAAATGCAAATTTGGAAACCCGCCCACTTTTCCCCCCTAACATAATGCTTTACCTCTTAAAAATAAAAATAAAGTACTAATTCTATATACATCACAGGTACCATACAAAAATGTATCCAAAGTTTCTATTGCTACCAAAGTGTTCTAAATTAAAACGAGTTACAGAAAGGCCCTCATTGTAAACAAAAGATTACAAGTTACAAAATCAAAGTACGCACGGGCCCGGGCCCCGGCGCGCACGCCCGCCCCACCCGAGCCCTCTGCAGGTGCCTGTATAAAAACGCATGTCGATACACCTTTGCAAGTTTATTTCTCATTATAAAGCAAATGGATACACTTTCTACAATAAATAACCCGCTGGGCGCACCGTGGGGCTGGGCGGGGCCGGCACGGCGGGTGTTTTTGGTGACTCGCAAGCGATGCACACGGCACAGACTCACTCTCAGCTCCTTCCACAAAGTACCATCAAAATAATGTCATTTTCTTTCTTAAAATACACATTTGTCATTGTAAATGTACATCCCGTCTTATTAAATAAGTGGTACTCTGTGTAAAGAGTATGATTTACAAAATTATTAAACATTCAAAAGTCTTTTTAAAAAAAGCTACAAATCAAAGAAAGTGACACAGCAGCACCCCCGTGGCGCGCGCCCACACCGCGGCCGGACACGGCCGCCCACCCCACAGTGCCGGACGAGATGTCTCATAGAAAACCGGGAACTGAAACCGCCCCCCTCCCCCGGGGAAAAAGAATGAAAGCTACGACTAAAAATCAGAATAAGTTAAGTTTTGAACAATATACAGACATGTACAGCTATCCACACTATGGACAGGACCCGAGGCCCGGGGCCGCCTCCCGGAGCCGCGTCAGTCGATGTCGCTGAGGTCGCTGGCCGGCTCCCCGTGGACGCGGCTCAGGTGATTCATGGCACGGTCGAAGGCGACGCGCACGGCCTTCCGGATGCTGGAGTTCCTCCCCTCCATCATCTTTAACTTGTCTATCGTCTCATCAATACCCAGGGGAACCATTTTGGACTTGGGAAGCCATTGCCTTTTTGAAAGGGAAAAAAACGGGAAAGTGAGAATCGCAGTCATACTGGGACACGCTCCACGTGATCATCAAACAAACTGAAAGCTCCTCCTGACGGGAGGAGCCCAGCGAAGCAGCACTGGGGCCAGTCACGGGGCGGCCTCCTGCAGGGACAGACAGGGAGGTGGACGACCCCTCCCCGTACCTCTCGAGGCTCAGGTAAGGCAGGGTCACCAGCAATCCCTCCTCCTCCCCTTCCTCCAAAACATCTCCCACGTGTCTGCGCGTCCTGAGTCATCGCCGCACACGAGCACAGGCGCGTACACACATGCACACAGAACACACCACACAGGGCCAGGGACGGTGGTCGGGGAGACCCTACGACAGGCCCTCGGGTGGGCAAGGCCGGTGACAGCCCCTCAGGGCCTGATGAGGAGCAGCTGCCAAGTGGCCAGAGGCGTCGGGGTGAGGAAGAGCGACGGCAGGATGCCGGGTCCCACACCACCAGCCCCGCTCCGGGCACACCGAGAGCAGCCGGCTCCACAAGGAGCCGCAGAGCACCAGCCCCCCAGGCCCCAAGTTCCCCAGGCAAAGGGGGCAAGTTCTAGGGGCGGCAGCTCTGGGGACCGCGGGCTCTGTGAGCAGCGGGGAGGAGAAACAGGGCGGGGCCAAGAGCGCCCGCAAGGACGGGCAGGCAGCACGGCCGCTGGTCTCACAGACGCCGCTCGCCGAGAGGCTCTGCCGCAGCTTCTTCGCGCCACCCTCGCCCAGCGCCTGCAGACTGCACACCTGACCCGGCCTCGACTCACCAGCTTCTCTTGTTATCAAAAAACAGAACGAGGAACAGCTTCTCGTCGGACTTGGTCTGCATGTGCTCTCCGATCTTGAGCACGTCCAGGGGCGGGGCTGGGATGGTGACGCCGTTGTGGTGCCCAGGTACTCGTGGCATCTTGGGGTCGATGATCTGTCCAGGAAGGACATGCTCAGGTCACACCTGCACACTCACACCCA